GCTATTTTTATTAGCATGTTTTCATTTTCTGTTTATGTATGTTTTTTGCCCCGTATTGTTATAAACTCTTTGAGAGTTCCTCAGACTTAATCATCTGAGACCCTAGAGGAGAACCTGATACCAACAAGGATCAAAGAGTTTGAAATGAAAGAATGAATGTTGAATGAAACTTTTTCTTGATCTCATCTTGGTAATGTCTTCTTTGCATCCTCAAAGTTCTTAAATTCGTGTCTTATACCCATTAACTTGATAATTTCCTTTTAATGATCCCCTGAGTGTGCCTTCAGAAGCTCTGGGGTGCAATGCATTATCTTTTTTTTTTTTTTTTTAGATTCACTTGCTGTCTATATAAATTTGTCTCAATTCACATTAGTAAAAAAAAAAAAAGTACATGTTTTCCTTGCCTATTTATAAAGTACCAAATTTTTATTAAAAATCAATGATGTAAAATTAACATTAGGTCAATAAGATTTTTTTTTTTTTTTTTTGTATAAAAGAGTTGTTTTATTATAATCACTGAACTGGGAAACGAGGCAGTTTTCATAAAGTTTCTCCACAGTGTGTGTGTGAATTAATTAATACTCTGTAAGTACAATAGTAAAGAAAATGTACTGTTGAAAAGGTAGACATAAATCAATGCAACAGAATCCAGAAATAGGTCCACATATATATGGTTGATTTTTTTTTTTTTTTTTTTGACAAAAGTGCAAAGACAGTTCAATAGAGGAAGGATAATCTTTTTAACGATGATGATGAAATCATTGGGCAGCCATATTTAATCCAGCGAACACAGTGAACCTCAACCTATATCTCACATTATATACAAAAATTAGCTAAAAAGGGATCATACTCTGCTCTTGCCAATTCTGCTTAACATTATACTAGCTGTTCTAGCCAGGACAGTTAGTTACTTAAAAGAAATAAAAGCCATCAAGACTGAAAGAAAGACATAAAGCCATTTCTACTTGAGGAAGATGTGGTCTTGAATATAGAAAATCTTGAATAATCAACAAGAAATTATTATAGCTAAGAAACAAATCGAGCATGGTTGCAGCGCACAAAATCAATGTACAAAAGTCAATTGTTATTTCTATATATTCACAATGAACAATCTGAAAATGAAATTAAAATAATTCCATTTATAAATTACATTTTAAAGAATAAAATGCTTAGGAATAAGTTTAACCAAAGAATTACAAAACTTGTACACTGAAACCTATAAAACAATATTGAAAGAAATAAATAGAAAGCTAGCCCATGTTCATGGTTTAAACCAAAACCAAACCCACTGCCATTGAGTCAGTTCTAACTCATAGTGACAGAGTAGAAATGCCCTATAAGGTTTCCAAGGCTGTAAAGCTTTATGGCACCAGACTACCTCATCTGTCTCCTGTGAAGCAGCTGGTGAGTTTGAACTGCCAATCTATTGGTTAATGGCCAAATGCTTTAACCACTGTGCAACCAGAGCTCCTTGTAAATGGGTTAGAAGATTGAATATTGTTAAGGTGGCAGTACTCCCCAAATTGATACACAGATTCAGTGCAATCTCAGCTGGCTTTTTTTCTAGAAATTGATAAGATGTAGGTGAAAGCAGTGTGTTTTGTTGTATGTAATGACTCATTGAAAAAGGCTAAAAACACATGGACTATTTTAAAAAAGAAAAGGAATTAAGTTTTTTCTGTATGTAGTCTATCTAAGAAGCCATTATGGCTTTACAGCCTATGACAGAGACTTTTTCTTGGAAAAAGGTGACTGAACTGAGATTGTAAGAGTTTGGATTCTAAAGCCTTGCTTTCAGTTAGTATATGTGGATTTGTCCACGGGTGTGTGTAATGTCTATTTCAGAAGACATCAGTTGTTTACAGCATTATGGAAATTCAGAAGAATAAGTGAAATGATCTAGACTTTTTAGTTCCCTGTGATTTGTATCTGAAAAGCACTTTGGTGTTACAATGAGGCTGGCTCCTGCATTGTTTCCTTTCATACATTTTTTGTCTTTATATTTCATACTCTACTGTCTGTTCGATTTGTACCTTATTTGTATTTTATAGCGATAGATTTCACGATGGTCACAACAAATAATGCAGAAATAACAGATGTCCAAATGGATGTGTCTGCCCTAGAATATAGTAAGTTGCCTTCTGGTGTTCTAGTCTCTGTGCTTTCAGTTATGTGAGTTCTATTTATGTTAAGCAAGCAGTACTTAAATTAGCATAAGTCTTCTCAACAAAATTTAGCTGAAAATTTAGAAACTTGCCATTAGGCAAACCAAACCAAAAACTCACTGCCATTGAGTTGATTCTGACTCATAGCGACCCCCATTGGGTTTCTGAGGTGGTAAATCTTTACGGAAGTAGATTGTCCCATCTTCCTTCTGCAGAGCCGCTAGTGGGTTTGAACCACCAACCTTCTGGTTAGCAGTTAGATGTCTTAGGCACTGTGCCACCAGAGCTCATTAGGCAAGCTTAGTTAAATGGAAAAGATGAAAGAAAGCAGGAGTTGGTCCTGCCTTACCCCAGGTTTCAAATATTACAATATTGAAGTAATAGACATTAGAGGTAGTATTTTGAGAGTGTTGCTTAAAAATTAAGCAGGAAAATTTCTCAACCCATGTCTATAAGTTTGTGATAAACATTAGTTAGACTTTAGAGATTTTTGTTTTATTTGTTTGGATTGGTGTCTGTTGCTCATGGTGAACTTGTGTGTTACAGAGGAGAGCCGCTCCATAGAGTTTTTTTGTACTATAATCTTCACAGCAGCAGACTACCATGCCTTTCTTCCACGGTGCCACTGAGGGGGTTTGAGCCACCAGTCTTGAGCCACACAAATTGTGCCATCCAGGGACCTAATGAGTGGGAATCAACTCAGTGACACAAGTTTACGTCTGGTATTATATTTACAAAATAGTGTTTGGGGTCCCATCTCTTTATTTTACTAAAAAATTAACTCCAGTTTTAATAAACGTTAATATAAAGGTAAAATTTTAAAGTCTAATAAAAATAATAGGACCTTGGATTAGGCAAATTGTTCTTCAGTTCGATACCACAGATACAAAAGGAACAAATTAAGGTTGGACTTCCTTAAAAAATCTTTTGCCTAGTCAAAACTCCATACAAGAAGGCAAACTATGGGCTGGCAGAAAATGGTTATAAATCATAAATTTGACTATGGGCTTATATCAAAATTTATCACTAAGGCCCAGAAATAAACCCTTAAACATTTATAGTCAATTGATTTTCAGTAAGGCTGCCAGGACAATTCAGTGGGGAAGGGATAGTCTTTTCAACAACTGGTACTGGGACAACTGGATCCAACATGAAAAGGAATGAAGTTGCATACTGAGGTACTTTATGACAGTTACAAAAATTAATTCAGAATGAATCAGAGAGCTAAAGGTAAGAGCTAAAACTATAAAACTTTTATAAGAAAACATTGGCCTATATGTTGTGTGAGAATTCCCAGGTGTATAGTAGAGCTGACATGGAACAAGGTGGAACACTTCTTGGTCACAGCCAGATACCCAGAGGGAGCAAGTAGTTGAACCTGTGGGCCCGGGACCATAGTCTCAGGGGACATCAAGCTCAGTTAGCATAACATGCTACACAAAAACATCGTTCTATCTCCTACTTTGGCGAGTAGCGACTGGGATCTTAAAAGCTTGCAAGCAGCCATCTAGATGCAACGATGAGTCTCTCCTCATCCAGAACAAAGAAGAATGAGGAAAACCAAAGATTCATGGAAACAATTAATCCAAGCAACTGGTACACCATGCGATCCACAAGCCTATATGACTATGAGACCAGAAGAACTAAAGGGTGCCTGGCTACCACTGTCAGCCACTCAGAGGGATCTATGTAGGAGATCCTGGATAGAGAGGGAGAACAATGTGGAACAAAACTCAAAATTATTTGGGGGAAAAAAGGGGGGGATCAGGTTTGCTGGTCTGATAGAGCCTGGTGGAACCACTGAGACTATGGTCCCTAGCTACCCTTCAAGTCTGGAATTGAACCCACACCTGCGGCTTCCAGCCAAACAAAAGACAGGCATATGAGTTGAACATTTACCTGAGGTAGATACACTCCTTGGAGAGAGTCATGGGAGAAAGAGGGGCTGTTTATGCACAGGGAGACAGCTCAGGGGGCAGGAGTGACTGGAGGGCTGGACACAGGGAAGAGGTAACTATGGGGAGGAAGTGGGAGGGGAGCTCTTGCATTGTGGTAAATTGTGGTCAACGTGATGAGACAAAGTGTATGTGAACTGCTGTATGGAAAGTGAATTTGCTCTGTAAACTTTCACCCAAATCACAATTTAAAAAAAAAAAAAAAGAAAGAAAGAAAACATTGGCCTAAATCTTTGTGACCTTGGATTTTGCAGTGTATTCTTGGATAGGACACCAGCATCACAGACAATAAAAGAAAAAATAGATAAATTGTCCCTCTTGGAAATTGTGCTGCAGAGGACCCTGTCAAAGAAGGGAACATAGCCTGCAGTAGAAGAGAGTATATTTGCAAATCACATATTTGACTTTTTGGTCGGCCTCATCTTGTGTCTCATGCTTAGTCTCTAATGATACTTATTTCTGTCTGTGGTCCTTCTGCTCTCGAACCTTCACAGGCGGCTGCCATGTTCACCCCCTACTTAGTCTTGAACTGATTTAGAGAAACTGTTCATTGTTCCTTTAGACTAATTTAGGTCTTTCCATTTTACTTTCTCTTACTATCCTATGTTTAGTGATAATACTTTCAAATGATAATTAAATTGTAAATCCATTACGTGTATAACTAACATATACCTGTATCTTCCACCCCTCATCCCCCAATAATGTTTACAATCAGGTCATACTTAGTGTTAGCAGTTTGGTTTCTTCCCATACATGTAACTGATTCTCCTGAGCTCACTTCTACTTTAGATACCTTTCTTAAATGATCACTAGAGTCACTGCAAACCTATCAGAGGTAGAAAAGTTTCCCTTAGTGATGCGTTTCTTTGTCTCTTTGTAGGGAAACTGAATAGTCAAGACTCCTACAACAATTTTACCAACAACAACCCTGGCAACCCTCGGCTATCTCCTCTCCCCAGCTTGATGGTAGTAATGCCTCTTGCCCAAATCAAGCAGCCGATGACATTGGGGACCATCACCAAGCGAACAGGGTAAGACCTCAGGCTTGATAGTTTTTTTAATAACTGTTTTAGAGGGTTGAATGCATAAAAATAAAACATACTTTTTCTTCGTGTGGCTTTGATTAGGGTCTTCTTTTCTAGACCACATGAGGCTTAATTGCAGCAGATTCAGTACAAAGTGTAGGACTTGCATTAGCATCCACACAACCACGTACACACATTCGTAGAACAAACAAAAACAGTGACAAGTTGTGAAAACAAGTATTGGCTAATACAAACCAGATCCATCTACTCAGTCCTGTACTTACTGCTTTGTGGCTTTGCCTTGAAGTACTGTTGCGTTTTCTTGCTCCTTGAAGACATGATCTGGATTCATAATGACTCCAACTTTTGTTGACACAAATACTGAGGAGAGTACTTCAGGTGTTGATCATATTTATAATTCTTTTTTTAAAAAGTTATCTTATTGAAATATAATCTACATACA